CTTAAATCCACTGAGGTGGCAAAGTATACAAAGGTAAAACACAGGTTCCTGCTCCTTACGTGCTAAATACGTTGCTGGTTTTGAACTTGAGTCTTCACTCTTACTGCATTCTGATTTGTAAAATAATACATCTCTCCTTCAATATCCTGGGGGCTTCCTTTTAAATCTTGGGTCAATGGGGAGATCTGTATGAAGCATTGTCACTTTTAATCAATTGGTAAGCAAGCAAGTCTTTATAAAGCACTTAGTGTGTGCCAAGCACTACCAACTTCCTGGGATACAAATACAGAGAAGGTGACAATCTTTACTTTTCTCTTCTCTGCCTTTATCTTTTTGCAGCTCCTTTGCTTTTCTTTATACACTTCATGTTTATCAAAGTGCTTCACACCTAGTAAGCTATTAATAAATGCTAGTTGACTTGACTGTTTTGTCCCAATGTTGATTTTTTTATAGCCTTCCTTCCTTCTTGAGCTATTTTCCATTTGGGCATTTCCGGCCATATAACCCTATCTAGCTTTCATCAGAAAATACTGAAATCTGCTTTTCTAAAGTCTAAGATAAATGTCTGCCTATACCCAGCATTTTCTCCATTGTTTATGTTTTATTTGAATTCTCTTAAAAATGTATATGAAGTAAATATTACGTATGAGACAGTCAACAAGCAATTATTAAGTGCCTATTATATATACCAGGTACTATATTAGGTATTAGAGATATAAATAATGAAAAATTATTTTTTTCAAAAATGAAACAGCTTCTGCCCTCCAGTAGTTCACATTTTATGTGAAAGACTATGTTATATGTTCAGGATATGTCATTTAAAATTTTTGCTTTCAATAACTCTGCATTTCAGGGTTTTAGTCTTATATTTCAATGAATAAGAGTTTTCACTGATATTACTATCAATGTATTCACACCTAACTCTATGTAAATCTTGTTTTTATCTTTCCTCTGATATACTTTCCACTATAGTGAGATAACATCATCCACAAACAGGAACAATTGTGACCTTGTCTGTTCTGTTGGCATTATTTTCTTTTTAAAGACATAATTTTAAAAAATCTCCCTTAGTGCCTATAAAACTGAGGTGCCCCAGTTGAATTTTTTCATGTGCTTTTGTTTTGCCCTTTCTGACTTAATTTTCTGTTGTCCATTTGATGCTTCTCCCCTCCCCCCCATATACCATATAGGGTACTAGTGATGCTAATCCAAATATGCTGGGTTTTCACTGTCATCAGTATGAGATTAGATCACTGCAGAAATGCTACCAATATGTGTAGATTGACCATGAGATTTGCTCCTTAAGGTTAGGAACTATATCACTTTTCTGTGTATCCCCAACACTTAGATCAGTACCTCTACATAGTAGGCACTTAAGAAATGCTTGTTGATTTATCCCTTTAATCTTGTGTGTATTTGTTATCTTCACCATAGATTTATCTATAAATGCCCTTGGAACAACTTGACTGAGTTAGGTGTCTTGCCAGGCTTCCCCTAGTCCTGTTTGTTGCCTTCTTCAGTACTTTTTCTGCTTTGTGAAGAGATGCTGCTCATTATGTCTCTCATACATATGATATTCTCCAAGTAAGCCGATCTTCTAAGCTACTATTTCTTTTCCCTGACATCTTCGCTTATTGAGAAGATAAGGTGTTTAGCTCACTAAGGCCACTTCTTGACTATTTAGGTGTTCTCATTGGGGTGACTATTGTACATTAGTTAAAATTTCCTAATCAATGTTGCTAATTAGTCCCTAATTAATACTGCTAAAACATCTTGTTTAAATAGGTTAGATGGACACTGTTGTATATATAATATCTATTAAACTTTAACCTTTCCCCCCATTTTTGGATTAGTTTTGACCTCTTATCTAATTAGTCTACCATCTGACTACATAATGACAATTCATTTGTGTATTCTTTTGCTCTTAATAGCTTGTGTTTTTAACATAAATTATATTTCTCAATATATCACTTCCCTTTCCTGGCTTAGAGACTTATCTTTGATAAAAAAAAAAAACAAAGAACTCTAATATCTTTGCCAAGAAAACCCCAAATAGAGTCACAGAGAGCCAGACACAACTGAAAGAACTCAATAACAAGAAATATTCTTTATCTTTGGCCTTTCCTTAAAGAAACTATTACAGCTGAGCTTGAGAGTTCTGAGTAAACCATTTTTGGCCTCATTCATTTCTTAATTACCAAACTTTTTATACACATACTCACATACACAAACATATACACACACACATACAATACACATATGTGTATAGAAACACGTACATGCGTGTATGTGTTGTCACATACGTACAGACACATACATTCTGTGTGTGTATTCATTCTGTAGCAAATGTTGCTCCCTAACCTGCAGTTATCTTTACTGTTTGTTCATACTCATTATGATCACTTTAAGGCAAGCATTTCCGCCAACTTCTTTATTTGTCCCTCTAAGGAGTTATCATTCAATTCAAATACAACTTCTTCAACTCTTTTGGTTTCATCTGCAATGAGAATTTACATTTGATGGGATTCGGTCCTTCTGCTAGCATATCAATTCATTGGCAATGGATAAAGACATCCCATTCAATCTAACTCTGATCCCAGCATCTTTTGCCCTGTTTTCCATTATTACTCCTCTACTATTCTTAGAGAAGTGGGTAAAGTTCGTATGAAGTGAAGGGCCATTTGATATCTATTTATTTGTTTGTGTTTTTTTTTTATCTGCAAGGCCCCTAACTGCATTGGTTAATAGCCATCCTGCTAACATTTACCCTCTTTGCACAGAGCACAGTTTACTTTCAGTCAACAGAGTATATCTCCAGCCCTACAATGGAAACTTTTTCTCCTAGTTATGGAATCCTATAGAAAAACCAAAGGATTTCTCTTATGATATAAAAATCAAAGCAATTTGTTGGCAGTGAAAATTATAATGATAATGAAGATGATAGTTGCTCATGAAGCTGGTTCAGTAATTTCTTGGAGTTGGAAACTTTAGCAGACACCAAATGTGAATATTTCAATCTATTAGTCAATTATTTTTAGATTATACATACTTTCTATTAATGGAAGAAAATTCCTTTTTGAAGTTGATTTTCAACCTAATATGCTAATTTAAAACACAGAAATATTATATATAGGTTAAATATATGTGAGCTGTTCTACATTTTTTAAATGCTTTGGCACTTAGATTTGAATTTCAATGTAGAGTCCTTTCTTGGTCTGTAGCACAAGTAAGACAAAAATGTTAACTCAAAGTGAAGGTGAATATGATTTATGGGGAGTGCGTTTTAAAGTTCTGGAATGCAATTTTAAAGTATAGGTAGTATCAAGCAAAGTAGAATAAAATGAGTAAAACAGGTAAGATCCACTTCTAACTGAGGAAAACAGAAACATCTTGATGGAAGGTGTGACACTTGAGCTTTACCATCAAAGATGAGAAAGATTTCTGAAAAAGGTAGAGTTGTATGTGTAGAGATAGTGCTAGAGGTGCCAGGGAAGAGGTACATCATGGAAGACAGTGTGGAGAATCCCATAGAGTCCTAAGCGGTTGCTAACAATAGGACTGAATATAACGTACACATGAGATAATTTGGAAAGGAAGTATGAATAAGATTTGGCACTATGATTGATGGGTGAGGAAGAGGGAAGAGTTAAGAACAGGCTGATATTTTTGAAAGCTAAGATGATATTTTCACCCTTTCTAAAGGTTGACATCTTTACTTCACTAACTAATATTCCTTATTGATGAGAATTCGGTAAAGAGCATCTATTTATTTATTTTACCTTATGTAAGGTGGGATTGTAGGGAAGAAAGTGCTTTGTAAAACAAAAAATGCTATACAAATGAAATTGAATAAAATGATCTCTAAGGACACTTTCAAACCTATGATCCTCATTTTTTTCCTAGACAGAATTTTTATCCATTAATTACCATGTACAAAACCATCATATATTGTGCATTTGTGTGAGAATGTATAATAAATGTTATTATAAAGCTTATGCTGAAGTAGATTAGATAAAATTTTCCCTTTCCAGACAAATTGAGAAGAAATTTTCTTAACTTAAGTCTTTTATGTTCCAATAAAGAATGACTCTATATAGAAGTTGCCCATCATGGATGGCAAGTTTCTCTTACAGTATATCTATCTATTGATCGATAGATTGATAGTGCTCTCTTTTGAGGTGGGGGGATTTTAGCTTAAATCGGAAATCAGCTGGGACTGCAAAAATAAAACCTCATCTAGATCAATGGCACAGCATGACCCTATTTACATAATAGATAATGGTGTAATGAGAAGAACCCCTTCCTGAGCTGAATAAGCAATAGTGTCTATGTAAATTCCTTTTATCAGAATCCATAATGCTTACAGAGTTACATGCAGATTATCTTTGAAATAATATCACCTAATATAAAATGTGAGTCTAAAAAATAATTCTTTCAGACTTTTTTTGTGTAAAAAGCATTTTTCTCAAAGTTTCAAGTCCTGACATAGGGGACACTAAAATATGTAATGGAAACTGTTCTATAGCTCTGGTTAAAGTTCTTTACTCAATTCATTCATGTTTTGGATTCTTCTCCCCCCCAAAAAAATGGTTACCTGGGGCTCCAGAAGAATGTAATCTAGATAACTCTATGTTTATAGTACATTTATTTAATATTATGTCTATAGAAGTATAAAATTTGACCAACTTGGTGAAAAATCATCCATATCATTATTTGGGTTCAAACAACAACTGAACATTTGATGTGATGATACATTGTTTTCATCTTAAATAGTTATGGCCCAGTACAGAAGTTAGAATTCATCTGCCTTGATAGAGCACTTCACCCTCTTTGCCCACTGCCACATGCCTCTGAAACAAAGTTGTAGAGAATGAGAGCACAAACTGTGGTCTGCATTTTTCAAGACCTGTTCAATTTCCTGATTAAGATGAAAGAAATTGATTAGTATATATTTAAGTAACCTATTAACATTGCTTATGAAGAAAAGTATCAGTTCCTACCTCCATTATCTCTTAAATGTAGAGCTATCTTGGTATCATCTGGAAAAGAAATTCAAAGTTATTACAATGGGAAGCTTCCCTTAACAGTATCATAAATCTCATTAGCAAGATTATTCTCCTATCTGACTTAGCTGTAACATGATTAGGATTCATTATTTTGTTGAGAAGTCACATTCCAATTCAATGAGGCTGGCCCACAATATGGTGGCTGTGTTTGAGGTTGTGCCTTTCAATAATTGTAAAAAGTAGCACTGTGATTAAGGATCTCAAGACGAAGATTTTAGTGCACATAATGTATAATGAGATACACACAACATTACATGGAGGGAATGTTAAAAGATCAGCATACTGAGAGTTAGAATAGGGTTATTGTTGTTATTATTATTATTATGTTGTTGTTATCATCACCTCAGCTCTGCCCCAGTTTAACTGTGTGATATTGACCAAATCACTTCACTTCTGCCATATTCGGTTTACCAATTTGTAAGACACAAAAAGGTTGAGATAAATGACCTTCAAGCTTCCTTCCAGATCTAAAATTCCATGTGTCTATACAAATTATACATAGTCTAAGACTGATAAGGTCTATTAGCATTGGTAAATTGTATTGATCATAATGATCATGGGATCATGGAATTTAGAGATGGAATATGCCTTAGAAGTCATGTATTCAAACATTTTCATTTTATAGATTAAAAAAACACCTCTGAGAGATGGGATGAGCTGCCCAAAACTACACAGGTATGTACATGGCAAAGCCAACATTCCATTCATTTCAAATGAATAAATGTTAAAGATCTACTAAGGGAAAGTACTAGTGTTAAGTTGTGGGATTTGAACCCAAGTTCAGTTTCAAATCCAGTGATCTTTCCACTATTCCATACTTTATCATGACATATATTTTCTTCTCTCCACCCACTAACTGTGGTAACACTTTTAAAAAATGTCTTAATACTTAAGTATGGCTTTATTTTCTTTCTTAAAATCTTGGCAGAAAAAAAAAGTCAACTTAATTTAGATTACAAGTTTTTCCCCAGGGACAGATTAACTTAAGCCTTTGAATTATGAGGTATATGACAGAGTGACCCCTAAGAAGGTATCAAAGATCTTTCTCTTTCTTATGGAACTAGACAGTGTCCATTGCTATGAGTAACTGCTAACTTAGTAACCTATTAATTCCATTTTTTTTTACACTGTGATATAAATAACAGGAATAATTTAGGTTTGCTGTGCTGTCAATACACAAAGAACAACATGTAGCTTGGCTTCAGAAAAATACAAATATATATATTTAATAATTGTGTATCAATTGTCTTTGCTCTAGTCATTTTCATGCCCAGTTGAAGCTCAATGAAGGGAAATAAGGTAGAGTCTTAATTTAATATCATATTCAAACAAGAACATTTCAGTGATTCTAAAGGTAAGGATACAAGGACAGTCTTAGCTTCCTTAGAACCTTAAAGGTATCATAACCTTTCTAATCAAATCACAGGAGAGTACACAAGGAAATTCAGAGTGGATAATATTGTATGCTCCCCATTCATACTTTTCTTTCCATGCTCTTAATTTTCATTTATGCCATTTTGTCTCTCTTAGAGCAGGATCTAAGTCTCCCCTTAATTTCGTGACCCACACAAAGTATCACATATGATATGAAGTGTGAAGTAGGGTAATTAATCATTTAGACTTAGGTTCTTTTAGATTGTAAATCTTTTGTTTTCCAAATACAAACTTGTTGGGTATTTGATAAACATAGGTCCACTTTATCATAGAATAGCAAGGTCCTGTCCTAGCCCTAGAGAGTCTAGGAATTATTTTTCTTTAATTTTCTGATCCATTTCTAGGAAAAACAATAAACTGTTGTGTGATAGAGAAGAATGGTCCAACAAACTCAAAGAAAGATGCCCCAACTAACTCTTAAAGATAGAGAAAAGGAACCTAGAAGACTTTTTACTCTCTCATACTTTTTGTATTCCAAAGAAACATGAAAAAACATGATTTACCAATATTTAACTTTCCTTTTAAAATTACACTTCAGCAAATAGAAAAAAAAATCAGATGTTTACCACCTTCTGTGGGGAGACTGGTTGGTAGTTGTGGTGAAGTTATTCTTCTGGTGGTAGTTAAAACCCTGAATTGTGTAGTTGTTGATTGTTGGGTTGTGGTTGTCTGGGAAGATGTTTCACCTGGCTCTGTGTTGTCACACATCTTCTCTTTGGACTGGTGAAGACAAAAAATAAAATCAGAATTAATAATAAACACCGTTTTAGTCAGATAAAAGTATTTTATTGTAGAAATAAATTGTGTGAATCAAGAATATAAAAAAATACATTTAAGGCCAACATAGGAAGAATACAATTTTGAATAGGACTATATTAAATACTTTATTTACTAAAATTATGAAATAAGTTAAGGCGAAAAGAAATATAACTTATCACTACCATAGATGATACTTCATTTGCTTTCATTTAGCTTAGGTGGATATGTATGCATATATGTATGTATGTGCATGTATACACACATAGACATATATACATAAACACATATCCATCAGTGCCTGGCTCATATTGGCATTTAACTAATGTTTGTTTAATTGAATTTACTATGTTATGCAAGCATAACATAGAAATATTGCTGTATTTTTATCAATTGTCATTTTAGTTTTGTCCCCCTTGCTCTCTTCATTGACAGGAACATTATAGAGGAAGAATAATTGTTCCTTTGTAAAAAAAGAGAAATTGGGAAAAGGATTAAACTACATCACTACTGACACCAGACTGAATACAATTTTAGATATAATTTGACTGAAGGAGGGGCAACAATATAATCCTTAGACTTTAAGGGCTTTCTCCAAAATCTATTGCTACAGGCCTTTATGGATGTGTTGTGTTTTTGTTAACTCCCCTGGGAAAGATTTAATGTTTTTTAACCTCTTCTATCATCTGGCCTTTAAGCACTTTTTTTTTTGAATGTCTGTCAACAGTGAATAAAGGAATCTATGACTTTTTTTAAGTGACAGTCATAACTTTTGTTTACCATCTCTTCTTTAAAATTTGATGGAAAATGTGAAAACATAGAATAATTTTCTTCAAGTCACAGCAGGATATCTACAAGGCCATTTGGCTACTAGATGAAATCCATGCCTCCCTCCTCAGCTCTGCCTACTCACTTCCCTAGATTGCTTTAAGTACCAACTAAAATCCTATCTTTTACAGAAAGCCTTTCCCAACCTCTCTTTTTTTTTTTCAGCCAAAGTTTATTAAAGATCCACCATATTGGCCAGACTCTAGGGATCTGAGCACCTGTGAGCTAGTGGCCAGACTGTAAAAATCTTAGCAGTGGCTAGATTTTAGGAATCTGAGCATCTTAATGGAGACAAGATGGACCTTATATACAGAAAGACTATGGGAGGGGTCCAGGAGTGGTTAAGTAGTCTATGAGGTAATAGAACTACAGAGGTGGACAAGGGAGAACGGAACCTAGATAGGATTAAGGGTGGGAAGTGGCCAGGGGACATAAGGAGGTCTAGGCTAGGTTAAAGGTACAGAGAATTGGGAGATTGGGTGTAGCCACAAAGAAAGGCCAATTGATGGGATTATAGCCTCAGGGGAATGCTAGAGATTAGGCTATGTGGGAAAGTCCAGGGTTTTTCCTTTATGGGGTCTAACTCCCATCCTTATCATTCCACCCCCTCAAACAAAGGTGAGAAGGTCTTGGCTTCTGAAACTTCTTCCTACGGGCAAGGGGCATAGAGCTGTCCTTGCCTCAAGAGGAGGATGACTGGAATGGAGGACAGGCTGCATCCAGGGAAAAATAGGGGGACATTGGCTGGTACCCACTGTTTGCTACCAACTGTAGGTGAATGGCCTGTAGTCTAGAAGTCACAAATCTTCCAGTCACTGCTAGTAAAGAGCTTGGTATTAGGCAGTGTTTCCTGGTCAGGGACCATATGATAGGTCTAGAGGTTAGAGATGCTGGAATGTCAAGATCATGCCACTCGGGTCCTGACCGAAAGAATTCAACCCAAACCTTCTTTCAGCCAAAGACAAGCTTTATTAAAGATCTGCCATACTGCCCAGACTCTAGAAATCTGAGTACCTATGAGCTAGTGGCCAGACTGTAAAAATCTCAGCAGTGGCTAGATTATAAGAATCAGAGCAGTGGCTATGATGAGGATGGGATCTAGGGCCCAGAAAGGAAAAACTATGGACTTTCCCACATGGCCAAATCTCCTGAGGCTATAATCCCATCAAATGGCCTTTCATTATGGCTACACCCAACCTCCCTATGGCTCCTGGCCATTTCCCACACTTAATCCTAGCTAGGCTCCATTGTCCAGGTCCCAGGAATTCTATTCACCCCAGCTTGTTGGCCACTCCCATCCAGATTCTCCTCAGGCCCCTCCTCCCATCACCCCAAACTACTTGGCCACTCCTAGATCCCTCCCACAGGCTTTCTGTATATATGGCCCATCTTGTCTCCATTAAGTGGCTGGAATTCTTATAATCTAGCCACTGCTTAGATTCTTATAATCTAGACAACAAGCCAATAGCTTACTAATGTTCAGACTCCTTAAGAGTCTGCCCAATATGATGAATTTTCTAATAAACCTTGTCGTTGGCTGAAAGAAGGCTTGGGTCGAAATTCTTTCACATGTTGTGATTTTGGGGTCTGAGTACGCTTGAACCCTTACCCGCATCGGCTAGATTTTAGGAATCTGAGCCCCAACCTCTCTTAATCACAATGCATTTCATTTGTCAAATATTTCCTATATATCTTGTATAGAGCCTGCTTTGTATATATTTGTTTGCACATTGTTTCTCCCATCAGGCTGTAAGCTCCTTGAAGGAAAGGACTATCTATTACTTCTTTTTGTACTCCTAGCTCTTAGCACAGTATCTGGCACATAGTAGATGCTTAATAGATGTTCATTAATTGATCCTCTTTGAAAAAAGAGCCAGAGAATTTATGCCCAAAACACATGAACAATCATTTTCTTTTATGTGGTATAGGTTAGCAATGATTATCGTTATTTTTCCTGAAACCTATTGAATTTGTAAACTAAAGATTATAAACTAGAGGAAAATCTTAGTTTTAGTGGTTCTTTCCATTAAAGTTCACTAGGCAGCATAAGACAATAAATACATCCCCAAGAGCTTTGAACTTGTGCTGTTGAGAGATCTACATACCTCTTCAGGGCAACCACTGTCTACCCAGTCTTGCCGGTGTCGATCAAATCCACTGGAGCATCTTGATATGAAGGTGAAAGTGTAATCCATAGAAAAAAGATTAAAGACACAGAAGAGAATTGGGGAGAAGGAGAAAGGGTAAATCATCTATTTTAAAATTTTCCCACTTTACCATATTAGAAGCTTTCTTGTAGAGAATAAATAACTTGAAAAGTCTAAAATTGTTTAAAGCTTTTCAGTGTGTTGGTCACTCTCTAGATTGACCCATTATTGCGATTACACTCAACAATAAATTCTTGGTCTAAATTAACTGGTTTGTGATACTTATTTACATCCTACTTATAGTAAATGAGATGTGATATTCTCATGTTCACATACCAAGTTCCCCTGTCCCCTGAAAAGAAATATAGGCACATTTCCACTAAATTTCCCATATTATAATGATCTCATTATGGGGAATGCAGATAGGTATTAAATGAAATGGATCCATTATGCAGACAAAAACACTTAGTGATGTAGGAATTCCTAATTGGTAATAAGTTAGTAAGATCCTATCTACTCATACCACTGCAGGATATAAAAAGCACAGTTACTGTAATCTCACATGATTTGTCTAGGCCTGATGTGTCATTTTTCTTCCCCAGATCACATTCATCTCCAACATAAATGCCACTTCTTCCAAAAAGTCATTCCTTATCACTTACACACAAAGTTATTATTTTTTCATCTTAACTTAGAACACCTAATGTTTTCACTTCTCAGAAATTCCTTCAATTTTCTTACATTTCTATCTTGTTTCTCCAATTGGAAAGAATACAAGGATTGTGTGGGCAAAGGCTGTGTTGCATTGCCTTATCTCTGTTATTTTCTTCAACACATTTACTTTTAAATTCTAGGCCTTCAATAAATATGGCTATGATCTAGGCAAAGTTTTTGGCTGAATTAAAGAAATACATACACTTAATTCTCAAACTCAAGGTACCCAAGGAAAATATGCTCATGATAGTAAGCTTTTCAATCTTAACTTTCCTAATGGCACCTTAATATTACTGCTTTACATATTCTTCCTCCAAATATTTTACTGAGAGTTCACCCAATAATTCACTCGTCTGTTCTTCTCTCTACTTATTCCTTGGTCATAGATGTTGTACCATGGTATGAATGAATATAATTTAACTCAGGTGGAATAAGATACAGCCAAACTGTTAGCAAAAAAAAAAAAAACTAGACCTATCATTCTCTCCCAAAAGAGCCATTTCAAATGGTCTGTTCAGTTCTAGCCATCTGTGTTGAGCAAACTGAAGTAGTGAATAAATATATGGGTTAGAATGTTGGTGAGATGGGTATTTTCCTTTTTTTTTTCTGGCCAATACTTTGGCATATTTAAATTCTGACCTATGCATTTTTGTTGCTCCCCTGGAGGGCTTCTCTGGTGCTTCATTGTGGTGTGCAGGTGATCCTACATTCTTAAAATCTATCTGCTGGCAGAACACAAAGTCTGACAGGTTCCACCCATGCTCCAAAGGATCTGCCAACATCTGTTATTAAAAAAAAATCCTAGCTACTCTCAGAGACACTGATTACCAAGAGACTCATCAGCCCCCAGGTAATGATTTTTATTTGGTTTTGGCCACAAAAATGCATAAAATCCACCTAAAAGGCATCAAGATTTTACAAGTCATCCTACTGGAAGGAATGCCTGCATCAATGAATAGCAGAGCTTTTCAAGTTTTAATTTATTAAAAGGCTCAATTTATTTAATTTGAAGTCTTTTTTTCCTTTCGGTTGTTTCTTCCCTCTCATCTTCCTTCCAGCATATAGCACAGTGCCTGACACACAGCAGGAATTGAATAAATATGTATTTACTGACTCACTTCCTTCTTGGAAAAAAAAAAAAAAACCTTTTGAATAACAGGAAGGTGGCAATTGTCTAGGAAAATGCATCTTGGGAGATAAGTGGAGGAAATTAAATACAAATTATTTTTACAAAGCACCTAAGCTTTACTTGCTAAACTCCAGAAGCATGCCAATTCAGTGGAGAACCATGATTTTCTGTTCTATGGTTCAACAAGATAATTTCAAATTTGGAGTTCCATACTACAGGGGGCCTGAGGTAGTGGCCTAGTGGCAATGATTGCCCATGATATGAGAAGCAGTTGATGAGTTTTTGAATGTGTCAGTGGGACTTACAAAGAGATTCATTTAGAAAAGCATAAATTCACACTCTGATTCTACCAGTAGCTTTAGAAGACAGTATAGTATGGTGGGAAGCCACTGGTTTGCAGGTATAGGACCAGGTTCATAATTCACCTACAGATGCTTAAAACCCCCTAAATGAGGAGATTAGCTTTACCAGACCAAGGGTTCTTACCCTGGGGTTCAGGAACATTTAAAATTATATTCTGATAACTGCATTTCATTACAATTAGGTTTTTTTTTTTATTTTTTTGCAATCCTATGTGGTTGAATTTATGCATTTATAGCCATTCTAAAAAGGGTGTCATAGGACTCCCCAGGCTGCCAAAGGGGTCCACACATGACAAAAGTGAAGACCATCTGTATTACATGGACACAAAAGTTCTTTTTCCAGATCTAGACCTAGGATCCGATATCACATCAAAGAAAGCAGAAGGTGAGCAAACCATAGAACTGGATAGTAAGTCTAAGACACCTAATCACTAAAGAAGCTGCCATTCTAAGCATATGTTGTTGATCAATGGATTTATCATAAGGATTTATAATAAGAATGGTAAACCATTCCATTATCTATGCCAAGAAAACTCCAAATGGGGTGACAAAGAGTGGGACATGACTGGGAAATGACTGAACAAATTATAATTAAAATCTGGTTTACAAATCAGAGTTAAAAGCCAGGCAGGATCCCTGTTATTTTGTTTGTATAAAATCAAAAGTATGAGCATTGCATCAGCGTGAAGGTGCTAAATTTAGGGAGGTGACTGCAAACCAGCAAAACTAGTTCTCTCTTACCCTGTACAAGACAACTAGTGACAGGGAACTCTAGAAATGAAATGTAAGAATAAAACAATGCAATTCAAAGAATTTTAGAGCATCATACAGCAGGGAATACAGGTTTCTATCCATCAACAAACAGGTTGGCAGAATAAAGTTCTATCCTAGATGGATTAATCTGTTAACAGTTTGAAAGATTTCCCTGGGCAAACTGCAGAACCTTGTGGTAAGCTATGGTATTATCATAATTAACAGCCCAGGCCGACTGGTGTGAGATAACTCCAATCGTCTCTTTTGAAAACTTGAAAAGCATAAATTCATCTGTTTAGTGTACCCTAAAAATCTCCAGAGGGGCAGCTGGATGGTACAGTGGATAGCGTCCTGGGCCTGTAGGCAGGAAGACTCATCTTCATGAGTTCAAATTTGATCTCAGACACTTATTAGCTGTGTGACCCTGGTCAAGTCATTTAACCCTGTTTGCTTCAGTCTCCTTATCTGTAAAATGAGTTAGAGAAAGAAATGACAAACCACTCCAATATCTTTGCCAAGAATACTTCAAATGGGGTCACAAAGTACCACATTTAACTGAAAATGACTGAACAAAAAGAAAAATCTTCAAATTCTATCCTGACCATTCAGCAGTTTGTGGTGAACTGATATCATATTATTCAAAGTCAGCTCTAACAGAAAGAAAATTGTTTGGTTCTAAGCAAACCGATCTATAAAACACATAGGAAATGTACAGAAATACAAAGATACAGGGACCTAGAGAGGACATGTCTATTTCAATTAATGAATTAGAATCTTTAAGTTACTGCCTCAAGGGACTTGGGTTTCAGATTCAGCCTTTAATATGACTTTCATGAATAATTCTTTTGTGACATGGGAAATGACAAAACAGATTTATTTGATTAAATCTTGTAATGAATGAGAACATGACACAAAGTGCCATTCACAACTGGAATTCTAAGATGGCAACAGTAAGAGACAATAGAAATTACATCAATAACCCACAGGTGGGACACTGGCTTTGTACTCACAGAAAAACTAATATACGTTTTCAAAGTTTTAAAATACAGATTCTTTTTGCTATACCCCAAAGTACAATTTACAATAGGTTCATTCCTATCTTTAGTTTCCAGAATATAATTTTATTTGTATATTAAAATGGAACCATCTTCATCAAATTGATATAGTACAGAGCCTCAAATGAGTTGTATTTTTCTCCACTCTAATTCAATAAGACACGGGTTTAAAAGTCCCTAAAGGACCATATTAAGTTAACACTATTACAATTTGCTAATACCACAGTCTATCAGATGACATGCTCAAAAGAGAATTCACTACCTTCCCCAACTGACTCTTCTCTAAATATCCCTATTTCTGTTGAGGAGATAACCATCATCCTACTCATCCCATTCTTAGAGTTACACTCGACCCTTCATTCTTTTCCATAATCTGGATCCAATCTGAAATTATATCTTATCCATTTCACCTCCAGAAGATTCTACATATTACCCTCCTTTTTATTTACTCCTTTACCCTTCCTTTTAAATCAGACTCATACCAACTTTTACCTGGAATATTTTTGTAATGGGTCTCCAAAATTCCAGTTTCTACTCTTTCCAATCCATCCCATACACAGCTGACAAAATAATTATCCTAACACACATACAAAAGTCTTCAGTGGTTTCCTGTTACCACTAAGATAAAATGCAGACTCCTCAGACCAGCATTTAAAATTGCCCACAATCTGGTTCTGACCTACCTTCCAGACATTTCACATTGACCCCTCCTCGCCTTTACGTATTCCACATTCCAATCAAACTATGCTGACTTCTAGACATTTTCCAAACTCGACATCCCATCTCATGTCTCCATGATTCTGAACAAATTGTTTCCCATTCCTGAAATGTATACTTTCTTAATCTACAAACCTAAATCCGTATTCTCCTATAAATTTCAGCTCAGGTGCTATCTCCAACCTACCATTATTCAACCATCTAGATTGTGCTGGGGATAGGGTGCTGGGCCTGCAGTCAGAAAGACTGGAAATCAAAACTAGGCTCAGACACTTCCAACTGGGTGATC